CTATTCTTAAAGCTCAGACGGTCAGACCTTGTGATTTAGCCGTTTCAAGCTCGTTTGATCTCGATAAGATCGCCTCAAGACAGTTCTGTTTTAATCATCGATCGATCTCTCGACATATTTTCAACCAATAATAAATCGATGAATAATTTAGAAAAAAAAAAGACACACGGAAATATATAATATCAATGTGTTCAATTGAGTTGGTTATATGTAGCAGTGTGCGCAAAACAAAATGATGAATGAATAGTTAGCAGACAGACCATGACACATTCTGACTGCGACACTATAACTAGCGACTGGTAAATGCGACAGATTTGATTTTAGTGAGTCATAAGCCAATAATCTGATAGAAAAAAAACAATGTAAAAGAATTATTATAGGATAATTTATCAGGAACGTACTGCAAAAAAAGTCAAACAAATCATATAATGATAAATGAAAAAATACAAAAAGTGGGTATATAGGATTATATAATAAAGATAATTCTGAAGAGCTTCTAGACCCACCGTCGATAAAATAGAGGGTATGATGGGTCTGCGGGTTTTATTTAATGAAAGTGATCTAGACAATACAGTTTGGTAAAGTTGATCTGACAAAAGGACGTAAGTTAATAACCTCTGTGGAAAGATTTTGATGTCTTGAAATTTTCTTAAAATTGTCATGACATAAAAATTATACAGACATTTAAAGCTTTGGAGTTCGAATTTAGTTATATCAATTCTGTAGATCTATACTCCATAAAAATAGAAGATATCTAAGATATGAATGATCATACGATTCTAAAGACCCGCAAGATACTCATTTCCATTTGAAATTGAGTGCCCTTTTTTTGTTTCAAATTCAGATTGAACTCGAATATATAAATGATTATGATATACAATATAACCATTGACACTGGCGTATTTAATAGTACCTATTGTTTCAATATGGCAATATCATGCAAAACATCTAAAGAAACGAACTTCATCGACTTTGAACTAATCACAGTTACCTTAGCTAATCTTTATAATGTTTTCCTTCGTAATGAATAAGCACTTGATGTGTATGATTTTTAAACAACAGTTCTTACGGGTTTATGCCAATAATTGATTGATTAAGTAACTGAAACAAAACTCTTTCTATTTCTGATGAATTAAGATATAAAACTTCTTACCTCAATTTTTTTCTGTGGTGTATATCAACCATATTCGAATACAAGCTGATACTGCTTCTTTTTCAGCGTGAGCATTGTTTTTTTAATTTCAACTAGTTCATTTTTTACGTTTACATTTATCAAAAAAATATTTTTATGGTTCTGTTTACAGCAAGTCCATTTCCAAACTTCTATCTTAAGTGTTAGGACACGATTGGACATGTTAACCACACGGAAAAATTTGTTGTTTTGGTCTACAAGTATGAATTTGTTCCTTATATATGCCTAGATATAGACGAAATAACCTGACAAAAGAACCGTAGGTCCGATATGGTTATCATCCATAGACAGTAATGAGTAGTCGGTGGCAACAAAAAGCAAGAAAGAAAGAATCCGTCATGACAAATTATTTGTGATATGTCCATCTATATAGATCAATAATCTGTTTTTGTATGTTGATTTCAAATGTTCTCATATGATATATAACAAACTGTATATGTATCTAGAGAAACCGATTGTTGCTTCGACGAGAAATAACTACGAAGATAATATTGAAATGACCTTTATTCATTTTATTTGTTAAAACTTTTATCTAAATGTTTGAATTGATTACTTCTTACTATAGATAGCGAAAGCTTTTTCTTTCTACTATTCTATATTTACGAATATAAATATCATTTCGACTTCCATGGCGGCATAATTCCTTACGAACTTCTTCTAATTATTTAAAATTGTATAGTTATTATTATTACATATAATTAGAACAAGGCTCTCCACTTAGAGAGAATGATGGTAAAGAATTCCTCCGTAAAATCTTGGACTTGCTGCGAAATTTCTAATACTTTTTGCAGATTTTTTTTAAAACCTCGTGGAAATTTCTGACACAGATAGAGTTTTAGCGATTTTACCTCTGCTTCTAACACATATTCATACAGAGACATTTTCGGCCAGACAAAATATCTCAGAAAATCAATGATTCTAGCATCCGATACTGATTACCTACCTGAAAGACGATTAATGTTACTTTCTACTGCATTTTCAGTCCTGCTCCTGTCCTCGAAAATGATCGGGAATTTCGATTAGAACAGTTCATGCGATGGTAAATTCCTATTTCCAGGAGATTCAAATAAAGTGACTATAGGAGAAATTTCATGGAAATTTAATTGAATACTTTTAAGGAAAATCATAAAAAACTCTTCTAATTAAAGAGAATATAGAAATGTAGTTGAAGTCTAAGTTAGGATTTGGTTGGGTTGGGTGTGTGTAAGTGTGGGTGTGGGTATCAACATTGTCTTTGTTTCATCCACATCCACATTACATCGCACCTGGTGTGGGTTCCACGAAAGAACTGACCACAAAACAACACACCTCATATCGTATCTGATGTGGGTGCCGCGAAAGGACTGGCTGCAAAACGACATACACCATATCGCACCAGGTGTGGATGCCGCGAAAGGACTGGCCAGAAAACGATACACATCACATCGTGCCAGCTGTGAGCACTGCGAAAGGACTAGCCACGAAACGGCGCCATTCACATCGCACGTGGTGTGGGTACCGCGAAAAAGGACTGACCACAAAACGACACATCACATTGCACCAGCTGTGGGTGCCGCGAAAGGACTGGTCACGAAACGGCACAGATGGTATCGCACCTGGTGTTGGTGCCGCGAAAGGATTGGCCACAAACGGACACTTAGTGCAACGTACCTGGTGCGAATCTCGCGAATGGACCGGCCACAAAACAACAGGCACTGGATGGCACCTGGTGTGGGTGTGGCGAAAGAACTGGTCACGAAACAGCAGAGACTACGTCGAACCAGCTGTGGGTGCCGCGGAAGTACCCGCCACAAAACGACAGACACTGCATCGCAGGTGGTTTTGGTCCAGCAACAGAATCGGCGAGAAGAGGACCCCCACCACATCGCAGCAGGTGTCGGTGCCGCAAAAGAACCGACCGGAAAAACGATACTCACGACTTCCTATGATCTCCTGTAGCTCCTTATATCTTTATTACTTTCTCATACCTTCGTTAGCTGCATTACCTCCTATAGCTCCTAGACTATCATCAAGTGAAAGCGAAGATAGCTTCGAGAAATATAAAAGAATTTCTCGGAAATTCAGTATGAGTTTCCTGAAAATTCAAAGAAGGCATGTAATCAAGAATTTATATATATCGTTTCGCCGTCACTTATATATTAAAATGAATTTCCTGACCCAACCCAACCAGATCCAACGTAACCCATCCAACCCGACCCAATCCAACCCAACCCAACTCAGCCCAATCCAACTCAACTCCTGCGATTTAGGTGTAGCCAATTTTGAATTTCCTGGAAATTGGAATTTACCATGTCCTCGAACAGTTATAATATTATTCGTTGGATTATCTTAATGTATGCTGCATTGCACAACATTTAATATTTATGTTGTGAAACAATATTATAAAATACATGCTAACAGATTTGATAATTAAAAGTGCCACTTATGAATGGTAAACAAATCAAACAATCAATATTTAAATATGAAACTATGGTAATGCACGTGAAATTCGAAATATTCTGCAGATTGTGAAAAAATCAAGAATATTTTTTCTAAAATTTGATAATTTTATCCTTATGAGTAAAAAAGAAAGATTGAGTATTTAATCATCGAAACTACAGGGTGCGTAAAAATGTTTTTACCAGGGGGATAACGCTGTGGCTTAAACTAATATTAACTATAAATTTTATATCAAATTAAAGCACGTTAAAAATTGGATTCACCAATACTAAATAGTAAGAGTTATGACAACTTTTCAATGTCGAATTCATGAAATTCCTACAATTTTATGCCATATTAGCAGAGAAAAATTCTTTTCATGGAGTATTTCAAATTACTACCCATTCCAAAATGCAAGGCTGTCGGTTGCTTTTTGAATAACTTTTGATAGGAACCAGACAGAAAGCTGCGGTTTTCACTATTCGAAAGAGAAAACTATGATGCATAGATATGTGTTGACATATGATTGGTTAGCAATGGACCAATCAGATTCATTCTTAGTAAACATTTTAAAAACAATGTATTGGATTTATTTCTCAGTTGATCTTGATTGTTAATATAACCATTCTATAGGAAAA